TAGGTCCTAAAACAAGTCCAAAGAACCCAAGATCTCCAATTTCTACTCTAGTTTTACTCAAAAACCATCAAAATCCGGTTTGAACAAAAAATGGGTTTTGAAATCTGAAAACGTAAGATTCAAGAGAGGTTCTTTCAGTAATCTTACCTCGAATCCTTCTCTTGACGTTGAAAACTTCTTTAAATCTTTGCTTGGTTCAAGATCCCTTTGATTTGGGACAAAAATGAGAGAGAGAGAGAGAGTGAGAGAGAGCACGGGAGAGTGAGAGAGAGAGTGAGGGAGAGAGACGCACGGGAAAGGAAGAGAAAAAGAAAAGAAAAGGAAAAGGAAAAAGAAAAGAAAAGGAAAAAGGAAAGGGAAAGGGCATGTGTACAATATTTTAAAAGAACAGTCCAGAAATGCGCCCATACACACTTCCGGGTTAAAATAAATTACTGAGAATAATTTAAATACCTTGGAACTATTTAAACTCACACGTGTCAGAAACATTTATTAATTAAACTCAATTAATAATCCAGATTAGGCACACTAATAATCTCAATTACCTTAATTAATCTTAATTAATTCTTCAGGGTGTTACAGTAATCAATATGATTTACCTACTTCAAAAGACATAGGTGGTTTAATAGTTTGAGATATTGGTGAATATGAACAAGAAAGAGACATTGTAGTCCAAGATAGAACAGATACTTTATAAAGAATTATAAAATTACATCCATTTTATATGGCTCTTCAATATCCTTTGCTATTTTCTTACTGAGAAGATAGTTATAGAACATATTTGAAATCAATTATAAACAATTCAAACAACAATTTCACAAGAAAGAGAATTTCTATGAGAGAATTTTATTGCTATCAATTGCAAGAACGCGAAATGAAACACAATACTCTCTTTAGAGGCAGTAGACTATTTGAGCAATATGTAGTAAATGCATGCCTCTATATAAGAAGATCGCTTGGACTATATTACAAAAAATAAAAAAATTTAAGATCTGAAATTTATCAAGGAATCCAAAATGTTGTTATTAGAGAATACACAAATGCACAAGCAATAGGTAAAAGAATTATTCTTCCTTCTAATTACACTGGAAATCCCAGATATATGATTCAAAACTATCAAAATGCAATGGCAATTTGTAGATACTATGGAAATCCATATTTATTCATAATATGCACATGCAATTTAAAGTGGCATGAAATTACTAGAGCTCAAATAAGAATACCGGGACAAAAACCTAAAGATAGACAAAACATTATTACAAGAATTTTTAAAATGAAATAAAATCATGTTTTATTATCAAAAATGAAAAAATATTTGGAAGGATTATAGGAGGAATGAAAAAATATTTGGAAGGATTGTAGCATGTTAGTATATCTTTTCAATATTTATTTTACTTCATCAACAGAAAACAAAAATAATTAATTACTTTTTTATATTAAACTAAAACTAAAAGAACTTTTTTTTAAAAATTTTGTAGACTTATATATCATCGAATTTCAGAAACGGGATTTGTCACATTTAATAATTAATTAGTTGTCACATATGAGAAAAAAAAAAATGACTGTACGGCTACGATCAAATTCACCCCATGGAATTGTATAATATACCCTCGATATATAAAACAAACAAAACAAGTGAAGAAATTTACTAAACGTGAACAAGAAATCAAGATCTTGAGTTCTTGATAATTGAGAACGATACAGAAACGCATATATATATATATATATATATATTAATCTCTCAAATTTCTTCAATATTCACTTCTCTTTTATTCTCTTAAATCACTTATCTCTCTCTCTAGTTCTCTCTAGTTCTTGAGTGCCAAAAGAATACATAAGAAGATGACCGACGAATGGTCGGGTCCCGTTGAGTTTGGAAGCGAGGCCGATTGCGGCAAATACAACGTTAATGATGATAGTGAGCCGCCACTGGGCGGGATGCGGAGATGGGTGACGGACTTGGTTCGAAAACTGCGTGGACATGGTGAGAGGTGTATTATGCAGAAGAGACTGTCCGAGAGCGATCTCAAGAACCGGATGTCAATGCCGACCATCCACTTGGTTGTCGAATCGGACGAGTTCCTGAGCGAGGGGGAAATCGAGGCTTTTCTGAGATGGAAGAATCATGATGAGGACTACAGGCGCTTTGAGCGCACCGTCGAGGCGGTGTTGGTCGAACCGTGTTTGAGGACGTCGGACTTGTCATTAAGGAAGTGGGGCGATGGCAGACATGGCATCATTAAGTTTGCTATTGACAAGAAGAAATGGCACGAGATTGCCCAAAGAAATGGCCTCAACAAGGACGACATTGTTCAGATTTGGTTCTTCAGGAGCAGAATTGGAAATCCATGCTTTGCCCTCATCAACCTCGCAGCCGCACAAGAAAACCAACGACCAACAACGTCCGATGCCACTACTTCTGCAACTAGCTCGATATAGTAGCTTTTTAAATTTCTAGGCTGCCAAACACAAGTAATTTTCCATTTTAATGCTACTTATTCTTTTAATCTTTTCTTTGTTAATGGACATTGATTCTTGATGATATTCCAATATAAATGATTCACTCAATATGCTAACAGTTATTAACTAACTATGCGGGCAATTAATTAATTGGTGGTATACATATGCCATATTCTTAATTCTCACAATTTTTTGTTTTTTGTTTTTTTTTATTTGTTTTCATTTAACTAAAGAAGCGAAACCGTTTCTTTAATTTGCCTTTTATTATAATTTTTTCTTTTGCTGAATTGCCCTGTTGTTTTATTTGATTGGTGGCGGCGTATGTGAAACGATAGTGTTTACTATAAACGACACTAATGCCTAAAAAGGACAACACCTAACAAAAACAGTACGGACATCTCATAAATCACGTACAACAATATGAATGAATTCATTTATAAAACGACAATGGTAAAGGAAAAGAGCAATCGCACTGGCGTACTTCTTATGGGAATAGAACTCCGATTCCAAATGGAAATTTCTATAAATGTAAAATCTTCCAACCAAAACCCACCTCAAATTGTATTAATCTTCAACGTTTACTCATCTCTTCCTTAATTTGCTTTCTCCCTCTCTATATATACTTCTCTATTTTTCTTGTCGTATTCTTCCCGGGAGTGAATGACGCCGATTGACGTAAGGCCTGGTTCTAATCTCTTCGAAAGTGATATTGACTGGGATTTCGTTGAGAAGATGAGAAAAAAAACTCGTGCAATTGCAATTCAACCGCATCGTCGAATTAATTTGATATTGACTGGGATTTCCTTTAATTTGATTTTCGCACTCTAATTTGCCTAATAGTCCCTCTGGGGATGCTATCAAACATAAATTTACTATCTCTCTATATGAATATAATATTATCGCAATTTATATTACTATCTATTGATGTCTTATGCACCTAACGATTTCTTTTATGAGAAGTTATTCCTAAAATCTATTTCTCAAGTTTCAACCTAGGTTTTCAATTCAATTCAATAATTAATCAAGTTATTGAAAGCATTAAGAATGATAAAAGAAACACAAGCAAAAGACTCTTTAGTGAATAAATTTCATTAAAAGAAAATATTTAAAATCAAATATTCATGTCTTAGCTATACTTGTCACCCTAGTTAAGAAATTTAGAACATGATTAAAATTAAAAACATGCTAACAACAACATTCAACATAAGAAATTTAGGAAAGAAGAAAATTATTTTTTGAAGTTGAAGTTGAACTCCGTTCTCGGATGAATCTTCTTCTCCTTTGTCGTACCGTAGACTCTCCCCTCTTTTCTTAGTCAAAAGATGTAGAAAATAACCCTAAAAATCCTACTTAAATAACTCTAAAACCAATAAAACACCCAATTAAGAGTGTTAAAATATAAACACACATCCAACGTATCAATTTGATTTTTCATCAAAATTATTTAGTTTCAATAAATTGTAATTCTTGTTTACTTTTCTTATTCCGAAGTGTTAGCTAGTGATTTTTCAATAAGAAATGCTTAGAGGACATAGATGTATTAATTCACCATATTTTCCTATGGTCTTTCTTAATTAGTTTCACTGGCACTAGTAACATTATGCTTCCATGTTATCGTTATTAGTGTTATTTGCTTAAAAGAATGACGATATTACATCTCAACCATTTTTAAATGTCTATTTGTATACAGTGAGCTAATTATATATATATATATATATGAATTTTTAATAATTATTGATGAGTACCATCAATTATAGTGACTTGATGCAGGCCTACTGCTCCATTCTCCTTTCTTGCACGTATTATTCACGCATGCATTAAGGCCATTGATAAGCTTCATCCGATAGCCGAAATCATTTTTGATTTTATTTATTTATTAAATTTATTTATTTATTTTGAATTAATTTATGGTTCGATTTTGTCTATTTTGACACCGGTTTGCACGAAATTTTCAATACCGCTCAAATAAAAATATTATGAATAATTTAAATAAAAATAAACAAAAATGCACTAAAATAAAATAAAATCACAATAAATTAAATAAAAAATAAATTAAACAAAACAAAATATAACTAATATAAAACACAATAATATAAGTTAAAATCATTTTTTTTATCTTTTACTTTAAATCTTTTCTTGCATTTATCTTTGTTTTTTTATGTCTTGTTTTGCTTCTCTCTCTTTATTTTTTAAAAAACGTTATACAACCGCTTTTTTAAATAAATCACGTGCGTGAAGCGCGCGTTAAAGATTAGTATATATATCAAAGCTCAATGAATTAAATGTTCATCAGTTCTTATTTAAGTTTTAGTTATCATTGGAAATCCACTGCAATAGCATAAGCAAAATTTCTAGCTTAATTAATCAGTTGATTTGACATTTTCATCAGAATTGTGTTGTTTCAATACATGGTAATATATTCTAAATTTTTCTTCTCCCAAGTGTTAGCTAGTTATTTTTCTATAGATATATTCTTTATATTTCGATGAGATGCACTGATTGTTCTTTATAAGATTGGAGAACTTGGTCTGCACATACACAAGGGTGTGAGCTTATACTAGCTAACACTTGGTCTGCATATACTAATTTCATAAAAATAAATCTTATGGTGCAATATCGGCTGGGACATCAACTGCCAAAGTGAGCTTATATACACAAGAAAACAAAATATAGAATAGCATTCTTCTAGAGGCAAAAAATCATGGCAATTAACGATTTTTTTTCCCCACTCAACTAAGCGAAAGGCTGCAAAATTACAAGTAGACTCGCGGACATACACACCCTACAAAAAGAATAATAATAATGAAAAAAAAAAAAGAATTGTAGAAATTGAATCACATTTCAGTGCACACACCAAACCATTGACATATTAGCACACAAGGAGATTGATGAATCAGATAGACCAACATGGTTGTTGTATGTAATGGTGAGAACAAATCCACAGAGGTTTACTTTTTGCCCCAACAAAAACTCTTTGGCTTATGCTGCAATTGGAGGTTCCTGCAAATAACATGAATGGTCCATTATTAAAAATCACATACCCAAAAACATAATATTAGGCCAACTTTGATTAATCATATAATTAATCATGTGTTTCGCTTGAAATAATAATAGACAGCACTTAGTTGATAATTCATTTGTTTCTAAAGAGGACTATCTCAAACAGTAAGAAAAAACCAATAAACAAGATTATTCGGTTTCTTTAACTCAAATTACAAGATTATCAATTTTGTTACAACCCTTGGGTAGAACTCATCCCCAAAAGCTAGCTTGTAGGAGAGGGTGCCCAAGTGGTTATAAACCCACATGCTAAGCCCATACTTTAGTAATGTGAGACTCAACCAGGATCTTAACAAATTTCACATAGAAATACAGGCAGTTGAAGAACACCCACCTTTGCGGTCAAGTTCGACACAGCTAAATTGAATTTCTCTCTCGTTTTTGTACCTGCAACCTGTCCGGCCCTCGCCACCTTACTGAATGCGCCATTTAGCCAAGCGGCTCCGGCAGTTACATACCTGATCAGCAACAAAAATGAGTTCATCAATTTACTATACTTATCATGTGGTTATATATATTGACTGCAATACTTATGCAGCCAGCACATATCTAAAGAGATTTGAATTTCATGGTCAACCGTTTTCTATCACTCACGAGAGAGAAAAAGATATCTCAACCTAGGAATTGCAACTTAACAAATCCAAAGAACTATAATAAATGATTGAGCAAGAGAATGCTGCAGTTTCGAGAAATTTGAGACTTCAGAAGATAAACACACACTCTCTCAAATTTGTCATGAGGCAATTCAGAAGATAAACACACACTCTCTCAAATTGGGAAAAAAAAAAAAAAAAAAAAAAAAAAAAAAAAAAAAAAAAAAAAAGGGTTTTAAGTAAAGTAGCATTCTGAACAAATGTGAAAACGATTAAATGTGATTTTCCAAAATTCTTTTAACATCACCACAAGTAATTTCCTCAGGGTAAGAAGCGATTAGACAGAATATTTAGTGCCAGAGATACTTATTGCATACCTGCTAGTTTTTACTGCTGATCCTGTATTATTAAGTTTCCTCTCTGCAGCAAATATTGCAGCCATTGTTTTGTCGGACACATGAAGCCTTTGATCAACAGACTTCACTTTCTCATTAACCACTGAAATCCCAACTGTAAATTTTTCTGTAAGTCCAACCCTCTTATCAAAAGAGAGAACCTTTGCAGAAGCACCGGCTCTTAACTGATGTTTTTCATCAAATGCTTTGGCTCTGTTAATTGCATCTTGCCGAATGGCTGACCCTTTTGCAAGCACATTTGCAACTACATCTTGTGCTCTGCCAACGTACACTCTTCCATTGCCAGTTGGATTAGTCTTGTCCTGCTAACACAGATAGATCAGCCATCCCTAAGCCCGTCAAACTCAGAAATTTGCAAGAACAAACAACAAAAACAATTGTGGGTCTCCAAAGAAAATAAAGGCTCCACCAAAACATCGTTGAAATCTATGCATTGCTGGTAGTGTGGCGAATCATATTCTACAGAACTACTGCATGGATATTCACAACTGACAAAACACCCTCCACAATAACGCAAAAAGGTACCATCCTCTGGAGAGGGACACGTACAAGGAAGACAGAACCACAGGCATTTGGATCAATCATTCTTGGTTGAGGCAACAAGATGCCCTAATGGAATCTAATCAAAGCAACAAGCTGCCCAAGGAAACGAACCTAACTATTGCCAAATCTTGGCACAATCTAGACCTACTAAATGATAATATGAAATGTCTAAAAGAAATGGCTCTTTCTGGAGAAAGGAAAAAAGAACATTATGATGCACAACATTATCTATCTCTACCTCAACATTCTGTGAGACATTTTCAGGAGCAACACACACGGCATTGTCCACCACCCTTACTTCCTGCATGAATTGCACTTCCGAAGTTAGAATTAAAGGTTTAACAATAGTAGTAAAAGTAAATTTTAGAAAACAATTATGCTGTTAAGATACCTGCATCTCACATTTTGATACATAGTTTTCAACAGGAGATATACTCACAATCTGGTCAACAATTGTTGCTCCCTGGGAAATAAAAAAGACAGTTTTAGATCTCCATAGCAACCTAAAAGCAACTACGAGGTATAGAAGGATTGCTACTTATATGTTCACAAAATAAGTCGAGTAAAAATATTCCCTTTGACTAGCATGGCTCAAAATAAGATGATCATGCGACCATTGTCATACGAAGGCGTATTTGTTTGTGAAAACTGTCATAACTGACTAGTACCACTATCAAACAAAATATGGGAAATGAAATAAAATTCTTGTTTCAATAACCCAAAAGATATTACAAAGAACTAATGAAATGATTGAAAAATTCCCAATAAAATTAAGAGTCAATACCGAATCAACACAAACATTAGCAAGACACGATGAATTTGTTTCTCAGAACAGGATGCGAAGGGACACTGAGGAGACAAAAAGAAAAAGAGGGGGAAAAAAAAGCAACTACCCGATAGGATACTTATGCTATTGGACACTATTTGAAAAATATATCCCAGAAGATGATAACAGGGAAAGCACAAAGCTCAGCATAGAAATAAAGAGAGAACCATGAACCAACACATGCAGGTATACTATTCTGGAAACATATGAATCTAATTTAAAGAATGATAACAAGCATCTTTTTTTAACAATTCTAATGCTACATCATTTTTTTGAACATCAAGTTCCAAAATTACTCGTAACGTTTGATTAAACAATATGTACAAGATTTCTTATTTCAATCACTTTATGTTGGTGCGGTCTCCATAGAAAAAGGAATAATTTTATATGTAACACATTAATGTGGAATTCACAGTAATGCAAGCAAGTGAATGAAATAAAGTTACAAAAGTGAGAGCCGCTAACTGATAAAGGTTAGCAAATCCAAGTTAGTACGAATACTATCATTTTTTTTTTTGTTTTTATATTACAGTTCAATTTAGCAATTCTATGTAAATGATTTGAATGATTCCAAGGAGTACCATATGGATAATCTAACTGTTCCTTTAAGAGCGAAAATTAAACCATTAAATGTAAACCAAATTGCAATTTTAACAGTTACATGATTTCTCAGATTACTGGTATGAACTAAAAACTGATGTCAAAGTTTCAAGCTGAAAAACAGTTTTTAAATTCATGCCTTGCATCAATGAAATTGTTTGATTCACACTTTTATAGTAGCATAATTTCAAAAATGCATATGAAATTTCTGTGTCCCTTTATGTAGTGAGTTCGCATCGTTGAACAACTGACACATTTACAAAAAAAGGAAGGCAGAAAAAAATGTTTCGAAAGCATGTTAAACATCACGGATTAAGACACTGGCTTTAAGAAAAAGAAAGTGAAACAGATATGAGGAAATACCGATAACAGCAAAGCAATTTCAAGCGCTTTTGGATCCTTAAATGTAACAAATGCTGTCTTAGATTGCCCAGGTTCACTGCACCCAAAACCACAAAAAGATACTTCATTACTAAACAGGTGAAAATTTATCCTCACGGTAACTTAAACAAAATCCAGAGAAAGAAAAGAACAAACTCTAAAGCGAACTACCAAACTCTATGTTCTTAAAATCAGTAGAACATGCTATTGTTCTTTTATTATTGTTTTATTACGATAAATCACTTAGAAAATCCAATCCAATGACAAAAGTCTCATTTTAGTTCTATCCTTAAATTTTTGAATAGTCCATTTTAGCCGCTTTTTTTTTTCAATTGAGTGAAAAGCACATGCTTGATGGCAACTTTTTAATATTCTTTCTGGGTTTTGTAATAAAATTGGATACAAGAGACTTTTGTCTAGCATAAGACTATTTAAATACAATGGGCTGGTGGGGATGTTCATGGCTTTATTAGGTGGTCTTTGATGGTGTACATTTCTTAAAAGAAAAATATGGATTCTTTGACGTTCACTGTTAGACAAAAAGAACTCGAGCAGTTTTATGGTAGGGTACAAAAACCTATCCGACCCGCACTGTGTAGTTTAGAACCATAAGATTGTAATCAGATTCCGTTAAATTTACATACTTTTTTTTTTAATATGATTAACGATATAACAAGAACTAAAAAACGTGCAGTACTAGCATGGAATCCCTACCATAGAATTTCCCAAATACCTTAAACCAAAGTTTAATAATAAATTGTGCGTTAGTAAAGAGAAAACAACACTCTCTTTCACACGTTTTTGTTAGATTAAATGGAAAAATATCACTTCTCTTAACAATTTAAGAGAGAATTTAAACAACCGTTTTTCATTTTAAGGCTCAAGAACCAAAACTAAACTTCTGCATTAATTAGTTTTAAATTTTAAACCAATTATAAAAACAATTATATTTCTTTAAAATTATTTTTAGCCATAAAAATTCACCGATGTACATACACACAAGCAATATATATTATACACAAACATCCGCACTTTTTCTTTTTTTTTTTCCCTCTCTTTATTGTCTTTTAACTGCACAGGACAGAAATATTTACAATAATAAAGTGAAGGCAACAAATTATTCCTTTCTTCTCGTTTGCATATCTAGCGTTTTCTCGGCAACCAAACAGAGGCCAGTAAAGCTCAAAAGCCAAAGATCCGAGAACTATAACGACAAAAATAGCAACAATAATAATGATAATAGTAAATTCGATTTACCTACGGATCTCAATGTGTTGAATTTCTCCAGAAAAGGAGAAGAATTCATGAATCTCTCTCTCAGTAGCTAGATTTGAAACCTGCTTTACTTGCACCGTCCTCGTCTGAATAATTTATTACAAAAAGAAAAGAAAAGGAATTTGTGAATTAAGCTAAAAATTATGAAGAAAATGAAAAATAAATTTTGTGTTTTATAATGAAATTACCTGCATTGTATTTGTGAGATAGAAGTCTATGGTGATACGAAGAAGACGAAGAGAATGTGTATGTGAAAAGTCCTTCCTTGTGAAGAGACAAGACACAGACAGAAATGCCAGCCACCAGACAACTTGGACTTTACCTACAGCTTGTCCTTGTAGAGAGAGAGAGAGAAAAAGAAGAGAGAGAGAGAGTGTGTAACGTGATGCTGCCTCATTATTACAACTTCCTGAAATTCCAATTTTACCCTTATATCATGATCATTCTCTCTTTGAAAACATCTTCCAATTCTCCACTTACAAAATTCCAATTTTGCCCTTGTAATTATAGTATAAGATACAACCACATCATGAATCGCTCCTTTTTCCCTTTTTTTTAAATCATAGTCACATCAAATTATTACGTTAACTATTAATTGTCTATAAGGAATAGTTGTCTCCACATAATTTATCTTTTTTTATAGTTATTTTCATATAAGAAATATCTTGATTTAGAAGATTTGATAGTTTTGAGTAACTTACTCGATTTTGTGACTTTAATTTGTATAAACTTATTCAAAGTGCTCCTAATTAGTAAAATGATAAACTTTAGTTATAAACTTGTAGTTATAAGTTTATGTTATATTATATAGTTTTGTTATCTCGTTCTGTTGTAGTGGCTATATACATCACAGTCATATGTCATCATTTTTAAATTGCTATATATGATTGTAAAATATGATTTATTACAACTTACAACAACCAAAACTAAAAGATATTAATTGTCAAAACTTGACTCGCTTAAAATAACTAACTCGTCAACAGAATTTAGAAACTGTTATTGCAGCGTCAAAAGCATTATGTAGAGGCGTTTTTAAATAAATTAATTTCTCAAAGAGCACATGCTTTTCCATACAAACTTATATACGCCATCCTACAGCTCTTAGAAACCTCTCCTCACCCTTAAATCCGTTGAATTATGTGTTCACATTCATAGAGGAGAATATATAGAGAGGAGGAGGGAAATATACCAAGATTTAGGAGGAATTAAAATTAATAAGTCAATGTTTTAAAAATGTTAATAAATAGGCTAATTTAAGGTAAATTTAGATTTATAAACACGTAAATTTTTAAAAATACCCTTAAATGATAATTTTTACTCAAAACTCTAATACTTATCTCTCTCTCTCTTCACTCTCTCTCACAAACCATTCTCTCTCTCATACAGTCATAGTCATCTCTCTCTCTTCACTCTCTCACTGAAATTATCGACCTCTCACTCTCTTCCCTCGGCCGCTCTCTCTCTTCCCTCCGCCACTCTCTCTCTCTCTCTCTTCCCTCTGCCGCTCTCACATTCTCGTCCGTCACTCTCTCTCTCTTCCCTCTTCCTCACAATCCTCGTCAGCCACTCTATCTCTCTCTTTCCTCTCTCCGACACCGATTGAAGCTTCTTTTCCCTTCCTCAAACAAATGTAAAAACAAAATTACAACAAAAGAAAAAACATACAAACAAATGAAAAAAATGTTTTAATTGCTTTGCACAAGGAATATCTAAATGTAAACCTATAATCACATTGATGTATTGACATGCAATCTTCAATAAAATGGTAGAATCAATTCCAATCAAATTATTACTTTGAAAAAAATTAAGTATATAAGATTGCAATGAATCAACAAGTGTTGATCTTAACCCTGATGACAAAACTTCAACTTTGAAGATGTTGATGAGTTCATAGCAACTGATACGGGGTTTGAGCAAGTCCTCCTATTGTGGCCAACTTGCTTGCACCGACCACATTTAACAGCTTGCTTCTTTGGTTCGCCACTAGAAAGAATCCTTTACTTTATGATGAGTTCATAGCAACTGATACGGGGTTTGAGCAAGTCCTCCTATTGTCGCCAACTTGCTTGCACCGACCACATTTAACAGCTTGCTTCTTTGGTTCGCCACTAGAAAGAATCCTTTACTTTCTTGGCCTCCCAGCACCACGTTTAAACTCTGGAGGAAGAACAACCTCATCCTTGTTATCCTCTGAAATTTCCCAACGTGATCTATCAATAAGAGGATAGATTAGAGCATCATACGTAGCTTTGTATGCTTTGTTGGTGTAAAAGTAGGAAGTAAAATGTGTTGGATCAAGATTTCTCTTCCAAATCGATGCAATGGCATGTGGACATGGAAATTCGTCATCTTGTCAAATAAGACAAGTACATTTTCTTGCCACCAAGCCAACCTCCTTGCCAACACCACCATCAATAACATGGTACTTATTTATATCCGTCGGGTGAACCGGATAAGATGACAAGAAGAAAGAAATCAAAGAACCCAATATTTCAATCTCTGAGTATGAAACCAGATAATAACCCAAACAGAGGGTTTAAACCAAAAAGGAGGATAAAATAGCAGCAGCTACCTCAAAAGTAAGTAGAATTTTCTAGTACATGCATCGCCGAGTCAAACTAGAGAATAACTTTAAAATAAAGACCAAAAGAATAAAAAAAAATCAGCACAAAGAACAGAGATCAAAACAGAAACATAACCCATAATGAAGCAAAACACAAGTTATAGAAAACAAAAAAAAAAGATAAAAAAATCAGTAAATACTTGAAACAAAAGTAACTTACATATAAGTAATGTGCTACCCTTTCCCAATCACAAAGGCATTTATTTGCATGTTTAGTCAAGTATGTAAAAATTTGATCCATATTATTTCGAAGTTCATAAAATCATCTTTGCAAGAAGGCTCTAAAATGCTCAATTAAAGCTTCAATGGGATACTCCCTAGCATTCACTAAAATATTATTTAACGACTCGGAGATATTAGTCGTCATGATATCATATCTCTTCCTCTCAAAGTGAGGGCATGCCCACTTTTTAACCTCTACTTGCGGCAAATAGTTCTGAATAACTGGCCGCATTGCCTCCAATTAACGTGTGAAGTAATCAAAGTCTTCCTTTCGGTATGCCTTAGCACAACGATATAATATAGCATCCACTTGCACACCTTTAAAATTTGAATTCATATTTCTGAGTAAGTGTTGCATGGAAAATCCATGAGCTGCATCTGAAAAAACTTTCTCAACTTCTTAGGGATACTACTCTTTTGATCTGAAACAATAACAATTTCTTCGTGAGTTCCAATGGTCTTCTTAAGCCTTTTAAAAAACCATTCCCATGAGGAGCCGGTCTCCGAATCAACAATCGTAAAAACAAGCAGAAAAATATGATTATTAGTATCTAAAACTGCAGAGAGAAGCAAGATCCCAGAAAACTCATTCTTCAAAAAGGTGACATCAACGAAGATCACAGGCTTACAATGTCACCAACCATGAATAGAAGCCCCCAAGCGCATAAAAAAAAAAATACTTGAACCACCTATCCTTATCAAGCTCTTAAGAAGTCATTTATCCTACAAAGTAAAAACCAAAAAAAAAAATTACAATACAAAATGATATAATATTTGCAACACTGGAAAACCAACAAATCCAGTAAGTCAAAAAATTTACTATGTAATCTTGGATATACTCGAGAATACTGACTGACTTATACCTTCTAATATCTACCAAAAGAAAACAAGAATGTGTTCCTTGCTATATAAATGATTTACAGAAGAAATACAGAATTTACAAATGTTCACCAACAAAAAAAAATGAAACTCATAAAAACTCAAAAAAATTAAGATTAAGAAAAACATAACACATGAAATGAAAATCACTTGGATTTTTTTCCTTGAAAACATTGCAGAGTAAAGGAATGGATGCAACTGACTCAGCTGCACTTCCTCTCATTGATTCCAAGACGTATCGGCAAGCCATTAGTGCTTTGTAGTAACTAATCTCAACACCATGCTTACCATGCATTATAAACCTTAAATCGTTGGGACGCAATCAGTCTGCAAGCCCGATGCTAAAATCGCCCTTTAAAAACTCAAAAACAACACGACTGTTTGTTTGCCGATGCTCAGCACTAACAACATCAATTGAACAAGTATGTTCCTTAACATACTTCTTTACTACCCAAACCTTTGCAGCACACATCTTCCAAGTACAATTCTCATTCTTACAAACCAAAACATAAAATAAATTATTAGATCTTTCTGATTGGAACTCAAAATGCCTCTTAATTGGAATTAGATGCATGAGTTTCTTGAGAACCGATTTGCTCATGAACTGATTGCCTACATTCACATCAAACGACATAGACAACTTTAAAATATCAAAATCTTCAATTAAAATATTATTCATCGCAACATCGATCTCCTCTTCAAATTAACAAACTGATCCATCACCATTAGAAGACGATGCCTCATCTCTTGAACTCTTAAAACCCGATGAAGAAGAAGTAGATCCCGCTGCATTAGCGCTTTTAGTAACAATATCTATTACTAATGGGTATGCAAGAGCTTTCTTATTGTGTCTAACCAAACAACTTAATATCACCATCCCTCTTTAACTCTGATACCTTTTAAATCGAGTCCTTCAACTTCCTTCCCACGATAAGTAATAAAGAGTGACGACCAACATTAAATCAAAGCAACTCAAGATGTAACTCCTCACACAAACGCTCATCTAAAAACTTCAAAGAAGCATCCTTCGGAATCATAATTGATTGAAAAAAAAAGTTTATATATTGGTTTTCTGGAGCCCATTTTTCCTTATAAACAACAATGGTTGTTGCATGCCTTAAAAAAATTACAATGTAAATCTTTAATTTACAATCATGTAAATCAATAAAAATTTCCAATAGCAGGGCATTGAAAAACACATTAGAGCACCAAGACCATAACCAAGAGAATTGTTGACGGTCAAATTTCACCAACAAAAAACCGGCCGGGTTACCTCTTGGTTTTCCTTTGGATTACCGGCCGTGTATGTATATTTTAATGCGTCAGGAATTGGTGAACTATTTGTGTGCGAGTATCTATTAAAAAACCCCTAGATATTAATGACACAAGGGAATTTATAGTGGTTCACTCTATAAATTCTAGAGCTACATCCACTGTAATCTTGTATTTCTTTGTCTTTGGGTAAGATACAATTTACAATGTTTTTTCTTAGCTAGTATTTTTTCTGAACCCCTTCCTCGTTGGGGGTCTTTCACCTTTTATACTGGGGCTTCCTTCACTCGGGAGG